TGGTTGCATAAGTTGACAAGATAATCCAACCAGCTCTACCTAGCAGCTGCTGTGTTGCTGATGCTCTCGTGCTCTCCTTATGAAAAAAAAGCTGAACACAACTTTGCTAAAAACATGCTAGAACTGAAACTTCAACAGACACAATGCAATGAGAAGATAAAAACTTCACTGGAAAATGTCAGGTCTTACAACGCAGATCTGAAGTTTCAGAAGAACAGCAATGTGGCAGTACCAAGAAAAAATCTAATGGAGAGATGTTTGGATGGTTTCAAGATGCTTTGAACAACATTTAGCATCCTTGCACAGCCTTAAGTGAGAGAGAGAGTGATGCTGTATGTCAGACAAATTCAAATTTAACATGAAGAAAAGCAGAGACACATAATTCGGAAAAAAAACCACCTTTCACCACCCAGTGAAAGCCTTGAATCCTAGCTCTGGTAACGGATACTCATATGCTTGGTTTTTTGTTTTTGTTTTTTCTTGAATACAGTCACATACTTCAAGGGTAGAAACAGGTGTTTATCTGTAGTAGAAAGGAGTATGTAAAGGTTTTGAATCAGGAGCTCTTTTGTTCTGCCCTACTTCCCTTGCCAGCTGCCCTTAATACTTGTGCTAACACTCCTATTTATCTACCCCACATACCTGCTGGGAGTGCCCTCCCTGGGCAAGGAGAATCTCTCAGCCTCAGAGATGGGTTGCACAACATCTGACTGTAAATCAGCATCAAATCTGGGATTACTGTGTGTGTTTCTGTTCTCCCCATGCCTCCTGCATTGCGAAGGCACAACACAATGAGTGCTCTGCATTTGGCCATGCCTGGATCAGGCACAGCCTCAGGCTGAGGTCTGCATCTACAAAGGCCTTTCAGGGCTGGAAGGGATGGTCACGTCTCTAAGTCCAAAGTGAAGATTTTGAACGGCTCCTTGCAACTGGCAGCTAAGGCTGCTTTCCATACAGACCTGCATTTCCAGAACCAAGGTTCCCTATCAAATCCAGGCTTTGCACAAAAGATCCCCTTCAGATTCCCCAAGGGGAAAACCCATGGAAGGAAACAGCAGCAAAAGTGTTGTCAGAATGGAGATGGATATAAAGAGAACTGGACAAGGGATAAATCTGGCTCTATCAAAGAAACAATGTTATCAGAGTAAATGAAGGGGAAACAAAACAATCAGAGTTACCAACCTCAGGTTATGTTTTCGGGAAAACTAAAAGGAACAAACCCCCATCTTGGCAGGAGTGACTTTACAATGTGTTTACCATTAACTCATTAGGTCTACATCTGCCATGTTAGTTAACTTTGTATGTTGTCACAGGCACTGGTAACGAGCCAAAGACTTTTGCCATCAGTCTGGAGCAGCTCCAGGTAAATAGAGTTCACTTATTTACTTTATTTAGGTACAAGTCTGTGCTCTAGTTCCTGCTCCCCTGCTTTACCCTCCACCCATGTTCAGTGTGTGTACATAAACACGTGCCAGAGAAGCCAAGTCCTTTGTGGGCCACAGCACATGAGCTCTTTTCCTTTTTCTGGAGATGATTACTTTGAACGTTGCTAAGCTGGGCTGGTAGGCTGGGTTGGTAGAAACCTCTTTCTCTGCATGTCTCTGATCTGGTTTAGCAAACTCCTGAAGGAGCAAGTCCATAGGTTTTGGGGCCAGAGTTACTCCTTGCACACAAATTGAGTGGGCAACTCAAATGCCAGCCTATGTCACTATGTGTGCACAGCACCCAGTAGCTGAGCTGCTGCTTCTTGAAAGCACCTGAACTGCTGCAGACCCCCTCTCAGAGACCTCTGGTTCCCTCCTTCCTAGCAGTCCCCATCTCCTCCAGACCATCCCAGCTATTATTTGCTCTGCTAGCAAAACATGACACAGTGCATGAGAAAAGTCAGAGCAAATAAATCACTTTTTCCCCTGAGATTCCCTATCTGGAAAGCAGGAATGAACTTTTCTTGAAAGGATGTATAATCTTGGGAGGAGTAGTTACTGGGAAGTGACACGTGTTAGTGTTTGGCTACTACTGTCATGAAAGACAAATGGACTGTGGTTGTAGAGCAAAATCCATTAGCCTTTGTTTAGAATGAATTAACGAACAGCTTCACTCAGTTTGCAGCATCCCATGCAATACTGGCTATCCCATGATGAGCTGCACACCCCTGAAAATTCTTTATCCTTATTACAGTTCTTCCACTCTAAAAAAAATGAGTCAAAAACATCTATTAATATTTATAAATCACACATAATCTAAACAGATAGTAATTTGCCCTAATGTTCTTTAAAATACTTCAATCTTAATTCAAGTTGTTAGTCCTTAAATAATGAATAGTTGTTATCAACTGTTCCATGTTATGGACTCACCTGACCAGTTCCTCTGAAATGATTGTGTTCTTCCTTTCTAGAAGATGGAAGAAAACAATCTTACAGACAAAGCTACAACATTTAACTGAGCAATGTGTGGAACAATCCTTCCTGTAGAGGGATCATTACAGCTGGGATCACAGCTGAGGTTCCTGCAGAGCACTGATGGTAACCTTTTGGCACACATAGTGGAAGAGCCATTAAGGAGACCTGTGCTGCTGGACCTCAAACTACCTAAGAAAGAAGGACTGGTTTGAGATTTGAGAGCTGAGAGTAGTCTTGGTTGTGGTGGCCATGAGATGGTGGAGTTCAGAATCCTGTGTGGAAGAAGCAGGACAGTGTTCTACTACCCTTGAAAATATGCTTCTGTGAGTTCAGAGATTTGTAGAAAAAAGAAGAAATGTGTTTCTGCATTTTTGTTTGCTGGGTATTTAACAACCCTGTATTTAACAGCCCTGCTGTGGTCAGAGTTCCCCTAGAAAGGGAGCCTCACTGGGAAACTTAAATCTTCTGAGAACAAATTCTGTCCCTCCAACAAATACAACCCCACAGAGATCAGCCCTGTGGCATCCGCTTACTACAGGACAGCAGAAGCCGATACACCTCAGAAATAGCCGTGAAGCAATTGTGTGCACTTTTATCTCTCCCTGTGGGACAAATTAAAATGCCTACTCATCAGGGTGAATTCTTTGTGGATTAATAGAGACCTTAAATACTGAAAGATAACCTGAGTGAAAGTCAGGGTGATCAAACAAGTTTATTTATCCCAAATTTTTGAGAAAATGGGTGTTTTTCCTTAATTTCCACATCCCATTTTTATGTTGCTATCTAGGAAGAAACATCAAGGACCTACTCTTTGTTTATAGTAAATGCATGGATCTATATAAATTGTGCCTGGGAATTAACCTTTTACCACCACTGGTCATGCAATGGGAAGTTTTCCATTATTCAGGAAAGAAATGACATCTTTAATTCCTTATGTTAACAGAAATGGTGGTAATATCTCAATGATTTCTGTAAATGAATGAGCTATCAAAGGTCTCAGCATTCTTTGCTGCATTACAGATTGCTTGTTTTGCTGGAGTAACCATAATAGAGAAACACAACACTGCCTGTGCTGTGTGGCCATCTATGTATATCCCACTAAGAAGTGATACATGACTAGCATCAGCTGTGTCAGTAGAGCTTATACAGCAAGATTTATGTTTCTTACTGGACAACTTGCTATAAATATAGCTATAACCACCTCCTCATATTTTATCTGAATAATTTATTCCCAAACTTTTACAATCAAGGTTACGGGTAACTGCTAAGAGGTTAGAGCTCCTTTGGGTAGATTACCCCCATATAGATACAATTTAAGAAATCCAGGTTCAGCTGTAGCTCTGTATCACCAATCAGAGCAGCCTTCTTTAGCAGCTGAAGTGCTGACTGTAGATATTCCAAATTGCAATGCATTGCAAAGCTTGTTTGATTTGTACCCAAGACAAAATGAACCTGTTCAGCAGCCGGGTAATTATTAAGTACATGCCATAGAAAATGCTATTGGATTGGTTGCGTAAACTAGAGCGTACCACTGTATCTTCAAGCCTCAAAGAAGGAGTTTATTCTTCTTTCAGAAAATTGTTTTTTGGCAATGTCTGCTAATACTTTACTATTTCTGCATTCTGAGTTCAGTCAAGTCTTAGTAATGTGTAGCTTCCCTTACCTACTCTTCTTGTCAGCCTCGCACTCTGGCTCTTCTTCTCATGCTAAACTTCTCATCCATTTATTTCACATACACGGCTCAGGTGCATGCATGAAATGGACACCATGTTGTATTGATGTGCATTCTCCCAGCTTTCCCAATGGCTTGGTGGCACAAATGGCACATGGGACAGATGTCTGCTGCAGACTGACCAAGTGATGAGCAAAGTGGGTCATAGAAACATCGACTCATGGAATGGTTTGGGTTGGAAGGGACCTTAAAGTTCTTCTAGTTCCAATGCCCTGCTTTTGGCAGGGACACCTTCTGCTAGACCAGATTGCTCGAAGCCCCATCCAGCCTGGCCTTGAACACTTCCAAGGGCGCATCCACATTTCTCTGGACAACTTCTCAGATTCATCGGTCCATGGGAGCCACAGGTAAGAGATCATTAGAAACCGGAGGCAGCAGCAGTCTAGGAAATCTGTTTCCTTGGCTCGAGAGGAAGGAACAAGGCAGAAAGCTGCCCTCCACAAGACGTGTATACCACTTACTTGCTTACTAAGTTTTCCATCACGCCGTTGACGTGAAAGGGATGGAGCAGACAGCACCGCACAGCTCTCTGTTCAGCTGATCGCACAGCTCGGTGCTTCCTGACGGCTGGAGAGCGAAGCCAGCCCCGAGCAGCCGGTGACAGCCCTCGTTTGGCAGCCGTAAAGGGAGCGGGCGGCGGGGAGGAGCGTGGCGCTCCCGGGAGCGCTGCGCTCGGGCAGCCCGGGCTGATCGCGGCGGGTCAAGGCCAGGTGAGCCCCGGGATGGCTCCGGCTCCGCGGCGGCAGCGACCGGCGACCCGCCCCGACACCTGCGCGGCGCCGCCCCGCACCGCCCGGGGCCAGGCGGGGCCCCGCCGCCGCCCTTAAAGCCCGGCCGCCCCTGGCAGCTTCCTTCCCTCTTTCCCTGCCTCCCTGTGCCTCCCTGTGCCTTCCAGCCCCGAGCGCTCCGGCGGGACCGCGCCGCCGACATGGGTAGGTGTGGCGGAGCGGGATGGGGCAGCCCGAGTGGGTGGCGGTGCCCGGGCGCGGCAGGGATGCCGCCCCGGGAGGAGCATCCATCGCTCCAGCCGTGTCCCTCTGAACTGGGTGATCCGAGGCTGGTCGTGCCGGGCTGTGAGCTGACAGCACGGCCAAGGGTCTTGCCCGGCCAGAGCTGGCTCTGCTGCTCGGTGTCGGTCTGAGGAACTCAGAGCCAGATACTCTTGGGTCCCTACTCTTCCTCGGGACAGCTCTCCCTCTGACAAGGCTGTATCCTGGTTTATACGGCTCTGCTTTGAAACCCGAGTGAGAGCCGAGAGATGGTGCCTTGGTCTCTGTAAGCTCTGTGAGCCGAGCCCCTGGCTGCTAAGGTTTATCCTACATTACACGTTTAAGGCGTGTGGAGCTTGAAATCTGGGCACAAGTTAAGTATGGTGTTTCTTGCCAATGTTAGATAATGATTTTTCATCGAGTGTTTGCCTAGGGTTGACCTAGTGTTTTTAAAATACATAGATGCACAGCTGGAAGATTCAAATAAGGGCAGAACCCATTTATCTAATTAATCTTGAAGATTTTTTCCTGTCTAAGCTGGAACACTGAGTAGTAGAGGTACAAAACCGACTTTTTTATGATGTATCTCTCCACTGCCTTTTGTTGGACCTTTGGTCCTGCAGTGTCTGAGTACATTGATGTCTCATAGCAAGCAGTTCCTGGGCTGAAGAAATCTTGTTTCACATCGGGAAGGAAATGCCCACCCTCCACCCCAAGAAGAAACCAACCCAAGAAAAGTGCTATTGCAAAGCAATGCAAATCTGTTCTGGGGACAAGCAACCGTAGTAAGGAGCGGGCAGGACATGTCAATGGTGCCGCCAGGTGTCTTGCTGGCTTGGGCAGGCAACCAGGAAAATGATGATAGCTCTGTGAAGAGAAAGAAATGGGATAAAGCTGTGTCTGCTCATTTAATATCAGGCTTGCTGCTTTATAGATTTGTTGGATAGTTTCTGTGTTGGTGCTGTGTTGGAATAGCAAGGTGTGAAGCAGGGATTCCTGGAGGAGGGGGATGCCCTGGCGGTAGCAGCATCCTTGTGAAGGTTCTGTAGGGCTGCTCCAGGGAGCAGAAGCAATAGGCTTGTCTGTACCCCACGTCAAGTGTCAGGGCTGTAGGCTTGCTCTGGAGCCAGAAACATCCTAGGTGACAGTAGGGTGTGTACAGATTTATTGTGGTCATGGACAGGGAGCATTTCATCCAGGCAGAGTGGCTGAATGGCTGCATGGAGCAAGACAATGTGCTCCCATCTTGTGTCACAGTCTGTAAGCTGCAAAATCTGTAGCATCCACTGCATCCCTGTGTCTGCAGGGAAGGAACCACACTGGTGGGAAGAGGTTGGAGCTAATAAGCCTGCCCCACCTGACCTGTAAGGTCGGGAAGGAGAGAATGGTCCACTGATAATTATTTAGATGTGGTGCTGAAGCCAAGAACAGAGTGGCTGTTGACTTTACATGTCTTAAAAAATACTAAATGTCTCAAGGAAATACAAAGTGCACAACTGTTTAGAGCTTTATACTGAAAAATGTGGAGCTCTTTGGTATTTTGTGGTGAAAATGAGCAGCTCTGCAGGTCATTCTTTGTGGGGAAAGAATAAGAGGGGCTGAAGGTTGCCCCAAAGAGGAACTGTTTCTACATGCCACTAGCCAACTTTAGATTTATCACTGAAAAATATGCAAAATGGTGGGTCTCTGTGCTTTGTAGGTCAAACCCTGGAGCTGCCTGACAGTGGAGTCCTCAGTTTAGGTGCCTGTGTTGAAAGGTTGGCTTTAATGCTATCTGGAGTTTCCCCAACCCTCTCTGTAAAATGAGAATAGAGGGATAAAGTCAAAACCTTTAAAAATAATTGTGTCTCTTTAACATTGAAGTCAGATAATGTCTGAAAAAAATTGCCTCTGTGCAAGGTTTCTTGCAGAGGTGATACTTTTGCCATCAAGAAAGCAGGAAAAACCCCAAACCCAACCAACAACCTGATCCTAAATATTTTTTGTCCAAGGCTTAGCTAAGAGACAGGAATGAGCTGCCCAAACTGTTTTTCTCTGTACATACTATAAAAAACTGGCAGTGTGGTGCATGTGTGCTGGATAGCCAGCAAGTGGAAATAATCAAGGAGCTGATATGAAGGTGGGCTATTGCTGACACATGTATCTGCTCACGTGCGCTGTGGAAGGGAACATTGCCAATAACTTTAATAACCTGTGTACCTGCATGTGCCCTGAACTGGGGTGTTAGCACTTTCAGAGCATTGCTTTCTCTCTAGGAAAATATATTCTTGAATCATCTGCATGCTACTACTGTCTCTGTTGTGAAGGTACAAGTCCACTGGAGTGAAGGAAAGAATCAGAAAAATCTGTTTTAGGGATTTCTGAAGATTACTTGATTTACTATTGTGCCAAATGCTATGGTGTTGCTGTCAGCTGTTTTCATCTGTTGTGAACTATGGACTAAATAATTTCACATTTTTTTCTTATATAGATGTATTATGGGCTGACTTGATTTACAAGCAGGGATTTCAAAGTTCACATCTTGAACTTGGTCTTATCTTAATGATAATGAGCTTGCTCATGTGGCTTCATGGAAAATGTCGACATCCGCTATGTGGGCACGGGCCCTTTATCTGACACAGTTAAAATTCAGGCCTTCAAGAGCTGTCTCCTGAGCTGAGGAAGCCCTGCAGCTCTCTACTTGGAGTGTTGCCAGGGGTAGAGGGCCTGCCAAGAGCCCCTGGAAATGACTTCAGGGCTGCAAGCAGCTGTCTGCTCTTGCTGCCCTCAGCAAGACCCCACTGTGCATCCAGGTCTTTCCAGGTTAATATTCAGGTTATGGGAATACCTGCTAAAGTGGATCACTCAGCTGGGACTTTATATACAGTCCTCTATAAGTCCCTTTTTAGTACTTGACCTCCATCCCTGGCAGGGCATCTGGAGTCTATTCTTTAATCTTGACTTGCCTTCAAGGTAACATCCCCAAGAGTGAGTTGTAACAGGGCTTGTCATCTGTGGGTGGCTGATTTACCACCACCTTGAATGGTGTGTGGTGAGCAGCCATGGGATGCTTTGACTTGTCAGCCCTTCTGAGCTTCTCCTGCTAGTGTATGAGTTTATGCACACCCTGAAAAACCAAAGGCTATCAAGGGAAGTTTTGCCTAATAACTATGAAAAGTCTCCCTTTAATAAACTGAAAATTTACTCACCCTGACCAGTACTGTGTTTGTATTTCAATATGTATTTAGAGTTGAACCTTTTTTGAATCTTCCATTGGTTTTAAGGGAACATTACTTATTAGTTGCCATTGACTTGTATTTTGGTTTTTTCCCTCTACAGGTGGAAAAACTGGCAAGTCGGTAAGTATTATTTTCTCTCACAAGAAATTGCTCTACTGACTCTCTTTGGGTTACATTGTTTTAGTAACATTATCAGCACCTAAAATTAAAAATCACCCTATGAACATACAATAAATGTATAAAATAATTACGTACTGTGCAAAACAGTGCAACATGTGCAAAAGCAGCCTCGTAACTTATTAAATTCTAGCTAAGCATTTGTTTGCTCACTACCCTGATAAAATGTCTGAAGAGCCTTTGCTGACTGAGCAGATGTTGGTAGGGAAGAGATTGGTCCCTGGAGCCCATCCTTCTTGTAGCTGAGTTATCATCATCCACTGCTCTTGAATCTTTGAACTGTTAATGACATGTGCCTCATGCACATGCCATTAACAACCCAAACTCTGCCTTTGCATTTCTTATCTTGCAAGGTTTTACTTAACAGACTTTCCCTCAGCTTAGTGGCTTCCTCAGCAGTCAAAGTCAAAGCTGTGCAGCAGAGTGGTGGCATCTCCAGGGCAGGGTGAGGTTACAGAGAGCATTATAAAACATAACCTTCAGGTTACCTTTTTGGTGGTGAATCTGGTGCTTCCTGACCAATGAGGGTTACCACAGAAAAGGTTATGGTAGATGTGTGTATGGGCACATGAATACTCTAACAGAGCACAGTACAGTGCAAAACAAGGACATACAGTATGTTAGCAAGGATTAATTGCATAGTATTTTCTGGCTTGTAGCATCTTGTAGAAACAGAAGGCCTGCCACCTGGGAAAGACCCAGTAGCTTTCTCTTGCATGCCCCTGTCCATGCTCAGCTGCAGCTGTGACATGCAGACCCTCTCCATTTCGGGGGCAGCCACTAAAAACCCACCAGGGGCTGCTGTGCCAGCATGGGAATGCAGGACAGCTCCACCAGTCATATAAGCACTAGTGGCTCGAAACAAAAATCTAGCCTTGCTGGATTGTGATCTCCTCAGACCAACATGTAACACCTTCCCAAAGAATAAGGTCATATGTAGAGTGATGGCAAAATATTGGTGAGGTTTGTGAGAACCCCAAGTGGCCAAAAGATTTTAGTGAGGCTTTGTGAAATTCCAGTGGAGATGGGTCCCACCAGTTCCTGGGCCAGGACTGCTCTGTCTTTCTTTGTCTCTGTAGGCAGGACAGACATGAGGAAGTCTTTGTCCTGCTTCAGGAACAGACATTCTCTCCTCTCCATTGGGCTGTTCCCAATTACAAGTCATACAGCCTGGGTTATTGTTTCAGTAACTAACTTAAAACGTGCTGAACCAAAACTTCAGTGTGTGGCTCTCCATCCCATGACCATTTGCATGGCTTAGGGGAATGCTGTGTGAACAGGGCACAAAGCATTCTTCTGTGTGAACTCCAGCCCACCAACACCTGTGTCCAAGCTGGGAGTAGTTGTCCAGACCTCCTGCTGCCTTCAGCTGAAGGAAATGGCCAACTTCAAGTGAATTATATCTAATTTTGGGGTACATGTGAATAGCCTTCCTTTGGAGACAGCTCTTTCTGCCTGTGGAGGATGTGATAAATCAAGAGTGACAAGTTGCTATTTGAGACTCAAAATTTGTGTGCTCTAGAGCTAGAGAATCCCACCTGGCACTTTCCTCATCTGAGATTGGGTGCTTCCTGTGAAGCCTGCTTATCAAACCATGGGTAGGATGTGCACTATGTACTTGGTTCTATAAACAACAAAGGTCAGTGCTGTCCAGGCTGCTCAGGCATCCCCACAACAGCCAACAATGCTCCTGCCACTCTCTCATTTTCATTTCTTTTTCAAGAATTTCCCAAAAAAGCCCATTGTGGCACCTAAGTCTCCAAGTGTTGTGTTGTTTGTTTGTTGAGACTTTGCTAAACAAAACTGGCTCTCCAATTTACTTGTGTCAGGCATGATTTCCCCATCTAAGGTTTTTTCCCTTTCATCTGTGAAGTAAACTTTTTCTTGTTTCACACAAAATAAAGATTAGTTTAATTCCTAAACTTTTGCGATCTAAACAATCCATTTTTATATTAAACTTGAGCATGGAGAAGAACTGTTTTGCTTCTGGAATGTTCTGAAACGTCTTTGAAATCCAATTCTTTGCTTCTTGCAGGATTAAACCCATAAAAAAGTTGAAAAGGGAGAATTATGTTTAAATTGCATCCCCATTAGTTTTCATATAAATTATATCATATATTCATTGGCTCCACTAAGACAAGTAGGTGATCAGAAATTAACCTTCCAGTTTTAGTGATCATATCAGATTTGTACCTGATGTAGGCTTTTTAACCACTATCTCAATGGCAAGAACTGCATGACCATGACCATGGACATGCCTGTTGCAGCAGGTGAAGGCTCAGTGAATCTGGCAGCCAAAGCCTTGCCAATTTAGGTTAGGAATAAACTCCATTTTATCATCAGGTCTGAAATAATGAAGGATTTTGCCAAGCAGAGTATTTTTAAGGATAAGGAGTTTTCCTGAGAGATTTGTTTGGATGAAAAGTTTATTTTTTTTAATTGCAGGTGCTTAAAAATAGCCCCAAGCTTCTAACTGGTGTACTGCAGGGGTTTGGTGTTGTGTGTTTTTGGTTGGCTTTGGGTTTTGATTTTTTGTTTTTCCAAACAACATTGGCTTTTTGCATATTTTTATATACCAATCAAGATTGCTTGTAAGGGTTAGGTGCTGGAGACCTCAAATGTGCCTGGTGCTGGAGACCTCAAATGTGCCTAGTGCAGCACTTGAAGGTCATTTCCAGCACTGCTAAAGGTCTCTTGCAAAGGGCAGATGAGAAGTGTGCAGACCTCTGGGGACCAAGAGAGGAAAGTGAGAACTGACTGTCGGTTCAGGTAAACTACCGTGATCCCACAGAAGCCTGTGCAGCCTCTAGACTCTGAGTAGGTACCCACTCCCACTGAGTCCATGTTGAGCTCGCTTAAACTGTGGGTTGCAATGAAGAGTGTCAGTGTGGGTTGCACAGCTCTGATCTCACATTGCCTCTTGCCTCCAGGTGCTCTGCTTTGGCTTCCCTTTGAGCATTTTCTTCATTGTCATCAATGAGTTCTGCGAGCGGTTCTCCTACTATGGCATGAAAGGTATGTCCCTTGTCTCCCTGTGCTGGGCATTACCCAGGCCTTACTTGGGTTTCTAACCTGTTGTTTTGTTGCTCTTCCTACAGCTGTGCTCACTTTGTATTTCACACGTTTCCTACACTGGGAAGACAACTTTGCCACTGCCATCTACCACACATTTGTTGCTTTGTGTTACTTGACACCAATCCTTGGAGCAATCATTGCAGACTCTTGGCTGGGAAAGTTTAAGTGAGTGCTTCCTCAGAAAGCAACCAAAGATCTTGAAAGCTCATCTGAAATCAATGTTACTTAAAACTGCAGCTGTGAACAACAACTGGGGTTGACTACTCCAGGATATTTTGGTTTATTTCACCAAAGCTTGAGGTTTTCATTGTTTCAGCTCAGACTTGAAACTGCACTGTGAATTAACAAATATTCCAGTTCTGATAGTTGGTTAAGGGTGGTAACATGCTTTCCCAACATGCTGCATACTTTTTCTCTCACCTGGACAAAATGTAAGCAAAACTAAGGAGTGTATTCATGAAGCTCTGAAAATAGGTACTGGGGATTATAATTACATAGGACAGTCTCTTTACCTGTTGCAAGTAGCCACCGAAATAGTGAATTGCTGTGTTTTCGGGTGTTAACTTAGAATAAATTTTAAAATACTGTGTGATTTCAAAACTGACAGATCAGTGAGGGGTTTTACTTAGTAGCAATTCTTTCTCTAAATGTCTTCTGTGTTTTTAGCTGCAGGCTAGTTGGTCAGGATAGTACCACTGAAGTGCTTTGAAATGTAGCAGATTATTTCCAACAGCTTTATCTCCCTCTCCTCTCCTGATGTTTTGATTCTAAAAGTGTTTACTTTGCCAGAAAAAGGCACAATAAAAGTTTTATGGAGGGTTATGAGCCATGAATGTGAGTGGACTTGGCAAAGGTCTCCCAGAGATTAGTGATGTGCTGTGCAGTCAGCTGCGCTGTCTTCTGCCACTGCCCCTGGAGCCCAGGGCTCTGACCATGGCCCTGTGTGCTCTGTGCAGCTGCTCTGAGCAGTGCAAACTCACTCCAACTAGCTGGATGTCTTACAGATTGCAGCCTAAATATGTTGTGTACATGCTTGTCTAGATGCTGTAATTTATTTTTTAATTTTATTTTGGCTTTTACTTGTCTTATCAAGATGAAACTTTGCAGACTTTGCATCTCTTCTCCTTTGGTTCTTGGATATGCCAGTGCCACAACTGAAAGGCCCAGACCTTTAACAGGAGCTTGTTAGGATGCCTTAAACAAGAGGAAAATATGCTTTAGGATACACCATTAAGTTTTAACACCTTGAAATGCAGCAAGGTCTCACGAGGAAGGCTTAAACAAGAATTTGAAAAAATCTATGATGACAAGAGGAAGAGGAGGTTACCTTAGCACTGTTAAGCACTCTTAAAGGAGTGCTTCCACACTTCCAATCTTCCACAGTCCATGTAGTTTGTGCAATGTCTGTCAAGGAGCATATGCTCACATATCATTGGATGTGAATTTCTTGGGGAAAATAGTACAGAAATCAGTTATTTTTAAATTGTGTGCCATCAATGCAGTGCCAATTATATAAGTCTTTGCAATTGATTTTTAAGCCTCACAAATAAAACCCAGAAGTTTCACTCCTGATCAGCTCAGGTTCAACTTCAATTGTTAATTTTCCTCAGGTGGTTAGGTAATTAAAGTAACTCTATGGAAGTATTATTAAAAAAAACCACATTCAATTGTTTTATTTAATACCAATTCAATACCAATACCTAATCAATATTATTAAACAGCAAACCACTCGTTGCCCCACTTTATATACTTTTTTACTCTGCTACAGATGAAGGCAGTTTTAAGTCAGAGAAACTTTGTTTTAAAATGAGGGGAACTTGGTCAACGCCCCTCTTGTGTCAAGTTGCTGCTTCAAGCTTGTTGTGAGGATCTCTTGCCTATGTCAAATAGTTGGATTGTTCTAGGTCTTTGAGCATTGTCCTTCATTCTCTTGCCTTGCACTGACTTCGGGACTACTCCTGAAAGCTGGGTTTTTAAATACTTTCCCATCATTGCGTTGTCTCCTGCTTTTCCTCCAAACTGGAGACTTGTGTCTGTTCCTATTGAATGGAGGCCCACCCAAGGACAGAAGTGAACATGGGTTAAACTACAGCCTCATCCTTAAGGTCCAACAAAGTTAAAATGGATCATGATTTTACTCAGAGAAAAGAGGATTGGACCCTACAGATAGGTGGGAGGGTTGGTAATTATGCAGTGCTATCATCCTAGGCACCTCCTGGCAGAGGAAGTCAGGATGAAAGCCTGCAGCATTCACCCTTCAGTGCTGTTCCCACTCATATTGTAAAGTGTGTAAAAATGTTGGTACACTAACAGCCAAGAGAGTGGGGGTATGGAGTTGTTGTTCACAACAGTTTTTCAGGGGAATTTCCATGTTTGAAGTAGATTTTTGATTTTTTGGTTTTCTTTACTCCTGCAACTAAAATATAAAATAACATAGTGAATGTTTAATGATATTTAAATCAGTGTAAATTGCAGATTTTAGTTCTGCTGAGTAGTCCATTTGGTCTTCAGCATATTAAAAAATATGAAAATGGCATTCTTGAGTTGGTCATTAAAAAGACAACCACTGAAGATATTTAAGTATTTCCTGTGACCCAGTGATACCTATAGAATCCAATTTTTATCTTGTCTTGCTTAATTAATTAAAGGCAACCTAGAAGAACAATAATAAAAATAATAGAAATACTGTGGCAGTGGCATGTGGCCAGATTTTTATAGCAGCTTCTGACAAGTTCAGTCCATAACTTATTTTATGTTAGCTGTTTTCATTACCAGGAATCTTCAAAGTAAGCAAAAGTCTGCATTAGCTGTGTAATTATGTGTGTGCAGTTGTGGTTACAAATCTAAGAAAATGTATCTCCTTTCTTGACAACAGGACCATTCTCTACCTGTCCATTGTCTATGCCATCGGGCAGGCAGTGCTGTCTGTGGGCTCCATAAGTGAACTGACGGGTGGCTCTGCCAATAATCTAGCACCAAACATGTGAGTTGCCTTGTACACGGGTTTTTTTCCCCCAGGCTGGTGAAGGATGGGACAAATTAAATTTATGTTACTTGAATTTCAACAGTCTTTTAACCAGCCTATTATGTATGCTGTAAGAACGGACACAAAATTATTTTGTTTTTCTTTTCTCCTTTGTTCCAGTGCTCTGTCAATGATTGGCTTGATCCTTATTGCCCTCGGTACTGGTGGGATCAAACCTTGTGTATCAGCATTTGGTGGAGATCAGTTTGAAGAAAATCAGGTGACAATGTCTTTCAGATTTTCAGTTATACAGATACTCTAACTGATGTTTGACTGTTTTAGTACTCTAATAACATACACATTTAGACAGGTGCATCCCTGAGGATTCCTGAGGAGCTGAAGAAAGAACTAGTTAGTTATTTGTCTTGAACTTTAAAAACTGAGGTGCTGATTCTTTGATCTAGGTTCATCAATGTGGTTGTGGCTAAGCCTTTCTAAATATCTTTCTGTTTTTACTGTAGGAAAGGCAAAGAGGCACCTTCTTCTCTCTCTTTTATTTGTCCATTAATGCTGGAAGTCTCTTATCTACTCTAATCACTCCAACTCTCAGAGGTAAGGAAGTAGAGATGCATAAGGCCCAGTATGTAGTTTACTTCCTTGCTGATACAGGGTGGAAAATACCTTGGGAAAAAAAGACAGATTGAGCTGAGGGAAGTGACAAATCATGATGTCCTGTGAAAGTTTAACCAGAAGACTAATACAACTAAATCAAAACATTAATTATCTGCAAGCTAACATTTTTTTCCAAACCATACTCTCTAATTCTCCTCTTAGAAGAAGCATGGTGAAGAATGCAATAATTGTGTTTAGTCTTCTGTTTTAGCCAGTAGCTAAGTTTGTACTCAGAGCATCCCTTTAGGATGTGTGCTTGAAGTCAATAGAGTCAAATCTCTGATTAATGCCAAGGAGGGGAGGGGGCTGGTGATTGGGATTTTTTTTCAACAAACTACACTTTCGTTACTGGAATCTTTGTTTATGAGCTTAGCCCAAATATTTTGTAATCTAGTTCTTTTCTCACTAAGGACATGCTTTTGATCCTTCTAGTGTAATTCTTCATGTCTCAGTGTAAAACTAGATGTAAATTTCCTGTGAGGAGGTCCTGAGAGGCATTAGACTGTTTGGCCTGGAGAACAGAAGGCAAAGAGGCATTTTATCAAAGTATAAAAAATACCTGATGGGAAAGAATGAAGAGGATGGAGCCAGACATTCCTCAGTGGTACCTAGTGTCAGGTCAGGAGGCAATGGGCACAAACTGAAACACAGGAGGTTCCCTCTGACCATCAGGAAACACTTTTTCACTCTGAGGGTGATCAAGAATTGGCACAAGCTGCCTAGAGGAGTTGTGAAGTGGAGTCTCTCTCCGTGGAGACACTCAAAAGCCATCTGGACACAGTCCTAGACAATTGCTTCCAGGTAGCCCTATTTGAGCAGGGCACTTGGCCTGGATAATGCCCAGAGGTCCCTTCCAACCTCAACCGTTTTGTGATACATAATTCCCCTTTCCAGTAATAAAAGATAAGTTGGATACTGATCTTTCACTCTGAGGAGGTCAGCAGACACGTTTCTTGTTCCCCCATGAGTTAACAATGAATACAAAGAACAGAAACCATAATGAAAACATAAGCAGTGATGACTGGGACTTTTATTTGATGTTACTTTTTACTTCAGCTTCAGAATGTGGCATCCATACCAAACAGGAATGTTACCCACTTGCTTTTGGAGTCCCTGCTATCCTCATGGCTGTTGCCTTGGGTAGGTGAATCTCTTGCCGTCCTGTTGCCTCGATAATTAGATAATAACAATCTCAGAATAATGAATGTGTGATAGAAATCTCCAGGTATTGACCTCTAATAGCTGATCATTTCTGAAATTTTTGACTTAAATTTTTTTCTTGGGTGGGGAGGTGGATGGGATTAATCTGAAGCATTCACTTTTACAGAAGAGACAGATTTACCAGAAGAGTCAGATGGGGGTGGGGTGAGATATGAATGTGTCTTTGAATTCTGTGCATTATGTAAATTACTGCCTATGTTTCTTGGATTACTGGTGTGTACAAATAGATCTTTTGAAAGTAGGGTGGGAACTCAAAAAAATTTATGTTTTGGACATTATCTCTAATCCTGGATGGTAAATTGTATGACGTAATTGTCCCTACACTGGAGAAAGCCCTTATTTGATATGTCAGTACTTCTCAAACACCTGCATTCTTACCAGCTGTGCTACAGGTCACTCCCTGAGCCTTACTGTTGACCAAGAAACTGGGGGTGCCATTATGCACTACAGTATCCCTCATGGTCCTTGTCCTTTGAGCCCACTTGGCTACCAGTGACCTTGCCTTCCTCATCAGCCCAGCCCAGGCTGGAGGGTGGCTGTGGGGGTTTGCCTGTGTCCTGTCCTGCCCTGCACATGGCACCATGAGGCTGAGCAATGTGCCTGGGAGCAGAGGGCACCTTGGCAAGTCCTGCAGCTCAGGCAGAGCCTGGCGTGTCCCCGCATGATGGGAGCTGTAGCACCCTGAGCTCCTGAAATGGAGCCCCTACAGCTACAGAGTCAAGGTCCTAAATGGCCCCTGTTTTGACCATCCCTCAGTTGAGCTAACCTCCCACTGAACACTTAATGTAAGAGTTTCCAGATGTAGTTTTTTGTCTTGAATAGAAGCAATCTGCTGATATTAATTTGATTGGTCTTACTGTATGATAGCATGTGAATAAGCAATTGCATTGCTTCTTAGGAGGCTTATTCCCACCCTGATTAACTCCTCGACTTACAGTTTCCATACCAAATTATTTGCCACTATTTTAATTTAATCCTGAGTTGCTTTTGGTTTCTGTTTGCATATTGTAGTTGTGTTCATAATTGGAAGCAGAATGTACAAGAAAGTTAAACCTCAAGGAAACATAATGCTTGAAGTTTCCAAATGTGTTGGAGTAAGTACTGCTTGCATTCCCCAAACCCCTGGCAGCAATTCTTAAAGCTGTTCTGTAAATGTGCCTAAATCAGAAATCTGTCTTAATATGAGGAAAGTTTCTGAAGTTTTTTATTTTATTACAGAAGGCTTCTTACTGACACCTCCAGATTAGACTGTCTTTTCAGGCATATCTTGATTTATATGTGGATTTATACACATAGGAAATTAAATAAGGTGTCATTGTTATATAAAAGCTTATTCCAAATTTTGGAAATTATTCTTTCTGCATTTGTGTACCTATATGTAGAAAGAGACAAACATGCCTTGTGCTGAGTCAAGAGCAGAGTTACTAGTACATCTTATCAGCAAAAACTTATTACTTATTAAAAGAATATTATTTGCAATGCAGAGGTTTATTGATCCCCACTGTGTTAAGGAGGTTTGGGAGGGTTGCACACCAGTATGATCCTGCAAGGAAAGGAATGGTATCTACATGAATAGCACAGCACGTCCCAAGTTTGCAGTGCCTCAACTTTAAGATCACATTTATTCACATACGAATTTCTTCATTCTCCATTGTTGTGGTTTGACATTGGGCAAATGCCAGGCACCCATGAGAGTCATTTGCTTAGCTTTTTTTGCTACAGTTGGAAAAAAAAAAACCACTCCAAAGGAAATACAGGTTCAAATCTAAAGGTATAAAATAAATTCATTATCAACAGAGTCAGAGGAGGACAACAAGAAGCAAAAAAAATATTTTACAACACTTTTTTCTTCCCCCCAGCCCTTCCCTCCTTCTCACCGATAGCACAGGAAGACAGGGTGTGGGGGCTTTGGTCAGTTCATCATTTGAGATCTTATTCCATTTGCTCAGAGAGAGGAGTCTTTTTTTTACTATGCCGTGGGGCCCTTCCCACGGGCAAACAGTTGTTCTAAAATTGCTGTGGCGTGGGTCACTCTTACATGGGGTGCAGTCTTTTAAGGATAGGCTGCTCTAGTTTGGAAGCAAGGGCTCTCTCTTTCTGTCTCTGGGAGCAGGGCCCTCACTCTCTTTTCAGATCTCCCACTAGCCCACAGCTTTCTCTAACATTTACCTGCTCCAGGGCAAGCACTTTCCCCATGGGCTGTGAGTGAATCTCTGCATCTTGTGGACTTCACGCATTACAAGGGGACAGTTTGTTTTACCATAGTCCTCACCATGGCTTGCAAAAGAATCTCATCTCCAATGCTTGAAGCACTTCCTTCCCCTCTTTCTTTTCCACACGACCTTGGTGTTGCCATGGTCTTTTACCTCATGGCCTCACTTCCTTCTCTTCTTTGACTGTAAAGAAAACTGTTGCTTGTAGGTACTATTGTCAACAAGTTCCAGTGATGCAAAGATTGTTGCAGGAACCCGCAGCACAGAGAAGTTGATCTTGTCTAGGTTCTGTGTCAGGAAATCCTTGTCATGCTTCTGCTCTCGGCTGGGCTGCCCTGCTGCCATTGTGCACATTGTACTGGCTGCCACAGTGTGCTGCTGCTGTTTAATGTCTCTCTTCATGCGGGGTGCTGGGAGGAGAAGCTGCTGTCACTGCTCCTGCCCTTGTGCCCGCAGTGTGCTTAGTTAGGGGTGGCCAGGCAGGGGCCATGCTGAGCCAGGGCATCACTGCAGGCAGCACTGACATGGCACCTCCCCACATCTGGGGAAAAACTGTGCCTGCACTGTTTGGGTTTTCTTCTTAAATATGTCATCACAGAGGCATTGCCAACCTCTCAAATTGGGCCAGCAGCATGTCCATTCTTCAGAGCCATCAGAGATTGGGTCCGTCAGACATGGTGGAAGCTGTGGCACTCCCCCACTACCAAAAAATCAGGCCTTGCCAAATCAGCACATCCCTACAGATCTGCCAGCTTTATATAGCCCAGCCTATTGCCAATCTTGTAAGCACTGTCAAAACCAAATCTCTGTAGGTGACTTTGGCCATTGCTTAGAGTGCTGCTCCTGAGACCCAGCTTAGCCATGCATGTTGTTCCATGCAGAAAATATTGGGAGTTCTTTGGGATTGTATTTGTGGATATTCAACGTCAAGATGTGAGACATACCTACAAGATGGAGCTTCTTTCTCATCGTAAAATGTACTCCTACAACCATTCAGCTCTGAAAACCTGTGCATATGACATTACTCTACTGTTGTACATAAGTAAATTTAGAAGAAGGCAGATCTTCCAACTCCTAACAGCAACCCATATTGAGAGAGACTCCTCTGAGCTGTTTGGTTCACCTAACCCCACTTGTATGCTCTGCTGGATATGCAGTGTGAGGCCTTAAAAACAACATTCCCCTAGATGATTGGAGTAGTTAACAGAAGTCAAGTCACGTCACCTTTAGCACCGTCTGAACACAAGAAGCCAGGATCATCATGTCTAATGACAAAACAGTTAATAATTTTAAATATTTGTAGAGCCATTAAACATAATTCTGTCTCTCCTCAGTTTGCCATCAAAAACAGGTTTCGGCATCGCAGCAAGGAGTTCCCCAAGAGAGAGCACTGGCTGGACTGGGCGAGTGATAAGTATGATGTAAGTACTGGGGAAGCCTCCTGTGCTGTGACAACCACTGACCCTCACCTTCTCTCTGTCTGCTCTGATCCACTGCCCCATGCACTGGGAAAATAGTTTTGGGCCTCTCCATCATTCAGTAGCTCATGTGGCCAAACCTCAGTTTTCTCCTGGCATTGTAGGATATCACCTCAGCTCCTGTGGGACTCAATGCTCTGTATAATCATAGGCAGTCCAGGGAAATTCAAGAGAGAAAAAAAAAAGACTTTCCCTTGCTAAAGAAATATGAATACTTAAGTTTTTTGGTTAGGAAAGTAGCAAGCATTTCCTTTCCTTCTCTACTTTCTGTATCTCATGGCTGCAGAGGGGCAAATGGAAATGATGCTGCCTGTCATGGTTAATGCACAAGGCCATAATATTTGTCTTGGTATGTAACATCAGAATTATGTTTTATAATTTCAGTTTAAGTGGGTAAACACTGCATCCCATAGTTCCCAACTTGCCTACTATCCGCTCAGCCCTGTTGCCAATGGCAGCACAAGCCTTAGCCTGTCACCTTCATTTTCCTTTTGCCTGTGTGCTTTGGTCATATGTGAAATTACTCAGTTGCCTATCATTCAAATGCCCCCTTCCTAGGAAAATAATGTGGCAACAAGTGCTGAATCTCGTACTGCCATCAGTGCACATGCAAAGAGGCCCAAGTCTCTCTGGTATCAGTCACCTTTAACCAACAGCCCTTCCCACGCACACAAGCAGACTTTGTACTATTTTAACAGAAATCATCAGATGTACCTATAACATGCGAAGTTGAATGTGTGGGTAAACATTACATGATGGGTCTTTACCTGTTGCTATGATGTGAGTAACAGTCTGAAACCATCTTTTTTTTTTCCTTCCTTTTTTAAACCAATTCCTTTTGTGTAATTTTTTATTTTCTGCAGAAACGACTGATTGCTCAGACAAAGATGGTGTTGAGGGTGCTTTTCCTCTACATCCCTCTCCCCATGTTCTGGGCGGTTTTTGACCAGCAGGTAAAGTAGAAATTGTTTGGCTTGGTAATTAGTGCTATACCGTGTCAGTCTACATACTCTGAGGTCACCAGACCTAGGGTGCCTATGGGAGTGTGGAAAAACAAATTCTTTATCCTGGTTTTATTGCAAAAGGGTAGTCAGTGAGCCGTGTCAGTACAAGATGATCTGCAGCCAGGACAATCTCAGTTTATCTGACTACACCCAGGACAGATTCAATGACTGAGGCCTCTCCAAATCTTGTATCAGCCTGGGACTCAGAGGATGAAACAGTAATTTAAAGCTTTCTTAGTGCTAATATTTCTTCAATTGTCAGTTGTCAGGTGAAATTTAAGTGAATGAGTTAGAGGACCAGGGTTTAAATTATTTGGATGCCAGTTTGCTTAATCATTCACACCTTCTTATAAACACCTTACACCTTCAAGCAGAAGTATAAGCCAGCAATTCCCATTTGGTGGACTGGCTGCTCAAGACTCACAAAATCAGCATTCATAGTTAGGCACTGGGGTATGAATTTAGGAAGATGCTTGAGAGAACCAGGGGTTGAAAGCCTTCTCCAAGTCAGATGGTAGGAAGTTCCAGACAGCTCTGCTATGAAATTCAGAGCTCAGTATTCATGCCATAGGTAGTATCTCAGCCAGTGCTGTGTCATGGGTGGCTGAAGGCTCACACCACAGATGCAGTGGTAGTGTTCTTGTCTCATCCTGGGCTCAGGCCTGAAGTCTATTCTGCTTGTCCCAGCTACAGGCAGGTTTTTGGGGCAGAGGGCTCCAGGCACATCAAGCCCTGGCTCATCTGCTGGCTCTGGGCTGTGAGGAGGAAGGATGGATGCACGGGACAGGTGGGCTGCTCTGGCTCAGGCTGGTGGCACATGGGCCCCAGGGTGGCTTCTGTGCCCAGCACATGGCACGGCCCTGCCCTCTCTCCAGCTGATTTCTGCACCTAAGTTATTTTCTGCTGTATTTCACTAAACAAGTAAACGAAGTGGAATGGACCATGAGGCTCACTTTTTTCAAAGGTTTACATCACAGAGTAAGAATGCTAACACAGCAAGCTAGCTTTACTTATTCTTGTATTGCATGTCTTTTCTAACACTTCACTTATGAAAACAATTCAAAAGGAACTTTAGAACATTGATTGACTGTGACATCTAATTTTTTCTTCTCTTGTTAAGGGGTCAAGATGGACACTGCAAGCCACAGCAATGGATGGGAATTTTGTAGGTTACTTTTTATACATTTTTCTTTTAATTAACACTTTTCAGACCCATTTTATTTGTTATGACAATATTAAAAATTATTTCTTTTTTTCTTCACCAGGGTTTTCAAATTCAACCAGACCAAATGCAGGTGCGTTAATTTTCTATCTGGAAATTTCAAGTTCTTCTGAAAGATTATATATCTATTGCCCTTACTTATAAAAAGCACTTTGAAAAATACTTAATTTTTCTCTCATGTTCATCTTCCCCAGATTGTGAATCCAATCCTGATTGTTATAATGGTCCCAGTTGTGGATTCTTTGCTTTATCCTTTAATCAAGAAATGCAAGCTGAATTTTACGTAAGTTGATGTAATTATCTGACTTCAACAAAGGCTCATTTTAGCAGTTTGTTTAACTGTCTCTTCCAGCCCTAATGTGAAAAGAGCAAGCATTCAGCTAAGGATGAAAGAGAAATGTATTTAAAATGGTTTAATATTTTAAAGAAATTCAAATATAAAAACCCCAGAATACTGCAAATGGTATGTAGAGGTATCACAGATTAGAAGAAGAGAATCTAATAGAAGATTAACAATGTTTTTCAGTTAAGGACAAAATCTTTTGATTGCAGTAGAGATGATCTTGATTGTTTTCCATATCCCCTATGTCTACCCCCTCTCCCTCCTGAAGATTAGGAGGTAGAAATACAACATACATCCTTAGCATTTGTCATGTTTTGGGCTTAAAAGCAACTGAGACACAAGATGTTTCCTCTTCTATCTCAGCTGGGAGTCTGGCTCACTGGATACTTCTAGGTGGAGCTTTGGGGGCATTACACATTATTTTTCAGTGTTGGTAATGAAGTGGCTAGTAGTTGCCAGAGTGCTTGGAGAGGCAGAAGAGAATACAATTCTTAAAACAACTTTCAGAGAGCTAAGGTGCAATGCTGTTTTTCCATATAGCTGTGAAAAATCTAGGGTGTATGCTGTGCTGGAAATGCTGTCATTCATTTGTGGATGTTCTACACTGGTTAAATGATGCCACAAATGAAATATATACCTAAATCTGTCCTAACTGCATGCCAGTAGATGTCTCCTGATTCAACAAATTTCCCTGATGGCTTTTGTTCAATCTTATTTAAACATAGCAATATGGATACAAGTTGTTGCTCTTTTAAAAAAGGCATATCTTCTTGTCTCTTTCTTGTTTTACAGCTAACAGCTGTATTGGATTGGGTTTTTTCTTCCTGCAAAACCAGATTTTTTCAGGAACCTAATAATCGTGGTCAGTCAATGTTTGAGCCCAGCAGATGCAGAGTGAGGGGTTATTAAGATGCTGCAGGAAAGATGTATTTCCTGATAGTGTAAATATGAATTGAGAGGTATCCAGCTTAGCAGAACACTTTCTGTAATAACATCAGCCCTTCAAATGGTGATAGTGTGGTAGCTGTGGCCATTTGAGTTTTCCAGTGGAAAGAAAAAACAAGCAGCTGAAGCTCTGAATTGGCACTTCTCTTAAACCTCACATGTCTTTCGTTGTATTAGGCCCCTGAAGAAGATGACTGTGGGGATGTTCCTCGGCTCTTTGGCTTTTGTTGCTGCTGCCCTTGTGCAAGTGCAAATAGATGTAAGTTCAGCCACATGCTGGTATTTACTATGAATATTTAACTGTTATTTCAGGGAAAAAAAAAGTGTTTTTAAGGTGAAAATGAACCAAGACCCCTAAATTTGGAGCCAATCATCTAAGCATAGAAGTAGAGGGAGGAGAATTATATTGCCATACTGTGGTTAGCATAGTAAAATTATCTAGCAACAAACACCATCCTGCAAAACATCACATTGCAGTTAATACAAATCATGCATTAAAGGCAATCTCAATCTTTAAACTGAGACAAAAGTTGAAAACCAGACATTTGCTTGGCCTACCAGAGAGCTGCTTTGTATATTTGACCTCTTCTGATATTTAGACAGGAGGTGAAGTGTTAGAGTCTGGGAAGCATCGTCAGAGCAGGAGCAAAGATGACATTTGTTGAAGGAAGGATTTGTCTCTCCTAACCTTCTTTGCTCCAAAGGGAGGTTCCATGCCTGAACCTGCTGAAGTTTTCCCCTGTAGCTGGGATATTGGCAACATCTCTGGGGGGTGATCCATTGCACCCCAAGCTCTGAACAGCTATCTAGAGGCGTCTGCTGTGCATGAGAGACTCCTTTCCTAAGGCAACTTGTGAGACCAGTAACAAAACCTGATTCAAGTTTCATCTGTCAGACAACCACAGATGAGCAGGCAAATGCTAACCTTTAACATGAAATAATAAAGATTTCAGTAATTACAGTAATTTTTCCATGTGACTTAGGGCACTGATTTTACTTTTTTTCTGTCGTATAGAAAACCTATCCAGTTTTCCCTGCAGCTTGGCAAGCTCAGATCAAATTAATCAATGTGGGTGAAAGTCCTGCAACAGTTGAGTTCCAGCCTCAGCTTGGCAATGTGTCTATAGCACCTAAACATGAGGTAAGTAAGGACAGATGTGAAATATTAAAAAAACCTAAAATCATTAATTCAGCTAAAAGAAATCTAATGGAGTAAGTCAGAGTAATTCTTAACTAATGGCTCAAAATTGATTATTTTCTAAGACTTTGTTACTCTAATAATTTTAATGAATTCTTTTTTGTATTGTGGAATGAATTGTTACTGAAAATACAGTGATTTAAGAAATGGTAACTATGTCAATATTTGACGTATTACTACTTTGTTTTGACAAGAGTAGACTTTTTCCCAAGAAATTTTTATAAACTAAACAGTGACTTGGAACGGTGACTTGGAAAATTTCTCTCTTGTTTAAAAGGTTCCATTTCCTAAAAGCAGGCCCTTCCTTCAGGGAATGTACATTCAGCTCTAGTGAGTCTCTGCTATTACTGTGAGGGATGACTTACTGAACAGGAGCTTCCTCTGTGGTTACATCACACATTAGACTTCAGATTTTGCTGCCAAATAACTTTTTCAGGTTCTAATACAGCAGAGCATTGGTAGTTCTCTTGACAGCAAAATGTGGTGGCCCTGATGGATGTTTTTGATAAGGGATGTTAGAAAGTGTGCTCCCTGATAGCCTGCAGTTCTGTTTCCCTTTAAGAGTAGAGATCTTACTGCAAGCTCCTCCAGATTCACCTCACATGGAAAGAGAGTTGTGAGGAGAAGATAAGGGCACCCAAACTGTATACTGACAGGGAATTGATGTAACCACAGTACATAGCTGAAAATGAAAGGTATAGAATGCTCTATTCCCTATTATAGACATTTTATCATCCAGCTGTGGATTATAAAGTGCTTTTGATAACCCTATAAAACAAAGGGCCTATTTTAGTGTAGCATTAACAAGTTTATTGATGGCTTAAGTATTTTATGTTGATTAACTGTGTTGTGAATATTTAAAACATGTCATTTCTACGTTTTGGAAAATACTGCATTGCATCTTATGCTAGTGCTAGTTTTGTGGCTAAATAGAATTTTACTTGGTGGTTATGGTAAGCCTGATTTATCTGGAGCAAGAAACAGGAAAATATAACAGCTGTTTCTTAGTGCTTGTGGGAAGCTCATGTAACTTTGAAGCTTGTGTAACAAATTAATACAAAATAATGATCAGATGGAATGAATGCTTGATGTAGAAAACTGATCGAAAATGAAAGTTAGGGAATATTCATGATATGTGGCACTTAGAAGTAACACATGTAAATTTCTGACCCTCTCCAAAGCCGATCATTTCCTCAAAAGTTTAAACAAATATGCAGTTGCACAGAAATCCATGGCAATTTGTCTTTGTAGACTGGCTACATGACATTTAATGCTTCTGAGCTGCAATCACTACACATAACTGCTGCACTTCTAACTAAAACGGAGCCTTTGGATCTGCAAGGAAAAGAACGCTACACTTTGGCATTTAAATGGGATACAACAAACATCAGTTCTAATTTGGTAAGTCTGCTTATTTCTTAAGATATAAATTAATGTTTTGACAACTATCTATGTGGAGTGTGTGAAGCTGAGAGGATAAGATCTGGATAGTTTTTTTCCTTTGTCTTATTTTCTGTCTCTCCTTGCCTCTGCTGTACCAGTAAGACTGGTGAGCTGCAGAGAGTACACCAGGATGTCCTTTGGAAAAAAATTACCAATTTGTTATGAATCTTAACAACTACCCTTTCACCAAGACTTATATGTGTGGTCATACAGTGTTTTCTAGCAGATGTATATTCTAGTAGGATCCTAAAGAGGGAAGTCTGCAGTGCTGCTCTGAAGCCTCTGTTAATTCCCACTGCTGTGTAGTAGTGCATATTTAAGCTGTTCTCTGATACCAGTGACATATTTTGGTAATGGTCTCTTCCACCAGATATGGGACAACATGACGTCAAAACCAGAATCTGGAAAAAGTCTTGTCAGGTAGAGGCTTTTTTGTGTCTAAATTTTGACAGCAGTGTGACTCTCTCTTCAATCTGTCTTTGGGTGGACTCTTCTTGTTGAAGTATAGTTTTCTATACTGTAGGAACTCACCTCTTGCTGAACATGTCACTTGATGTTTTAAGGGATAGGATAACTTGAGTCATGATTCACTTACCTTGCACACCTGGTTTTGGTAAAATTTAGCTAAAATTGGAAGTGTATGATTCGTTCCATCGCCTAGACTTTTTAAATTGGGCAAATGGCATGGATTACATATCTATACCTCCTTTTTAATCTTGGATAGGAGGTATCTTGCTACTTCTCCCCTCTCTGCTTTTCTTCTACATCTCCCACTTGCAGATGCATTACCTACTGGTTGTAGTAGCAGCTTGCTTTTGATGTTCTCCTAAGGCAGTGGGCTGATGGGAGTCTAACTGGCTTTTTGTATTAGCTATATTTCTAGGAGATTTAGAGTTCTTTCCAAAATGTTAATTGATAATAAAAAAACCCAAGGCATTAAATGGGATACTTGTTGTGCTGCCAATATATAATTAAAAGTCAAACCTGTATTCTTTGACTTATGCCTGTTTTGTGTAGTATTTCATCACTCTTCCATTTTAAAGGTTCATAAACAATTTGCCTTTTACTGTCAATGTTACTATGGGGGACACGGATTTTGGAGAACTGGATCCTCTTTCTGTCACTAATTACAGTGTTGTTCCAAAACCAGACGGGTAAGCATTTTCCTTTATCCTAATTTAATCTCCAAGACACACTTGTCATTGGGAAAAGGGCACAGAGCTTTTTTTTAAATATGTAATACACACTATTGACTACACCTATAGTCTGAACTGTGAGGTTTGGATTGTTTCTTTTTCAGGTCATATACCATTAATGCTTCAATGCCTCAGACTGCTTGTACAACTGTTTCAAAGAAATTTGGATATGGCAGTGTCTATACCATTTCACTTGATTATGTGAGTTGCCACTGTTGTTGGATGGACAATACAGAATTACTTTTTATGTTGACACTTTAATAATTTAAAAAAACACTTGTAGAATTATTCTTCTTGTCTTTAATTATATATATGATAGAATTCTGGCCCTTTAAACAGGATATAAAGTTATTGTTAACTGTAAAAATGATGATGGTTATGATAATATCATAATGCAATAATTCCTGATCACCACTAATGGCTTTAAATCTTTATCCCTGTTAGACACTACAGATTTGCACGAAGTCTACTGTAGAAAAGCTATATTTTATAACTAGGTATGCAGTGCTTCATGTGCAAGCATATTTGTTATTATATGTGCATCATATTTGTTATTTACTCTGAACTTTCTATTTGATTATAGAACTGCTTAGGATGCCTTAACTGTGCACACTCATTATTACTGTTCCTAACATGCTATTTTAATTTCCAGTGTACTGAAAACGCACTTAGCATAACATACTTTGAAGATATTGCACCAAATACAGTCCATATGGCTTGGCAGATCCCTCAGTATTTTCTTCTGACATGTGCAGAAGTGTTGTTCTCTGTCACTGGGCTGGAGTTTTCATACTCACAGGTTGGTACTCTTCTAGAGTTAAGAATCTCAGTGCAAGTTAAGATCTTCTATGATCTATTGTTTTTAAGTGGTGGTTCTGTGCTGCTGCTTTGATCAGCTATGTCCCTCACAGCTCCTAAAAGGATTGTATAGGCTGATGCAAGTTGGCTCTGTTTCACTAGGATTTGGTGTTTTCCATGAAGCTATGCTGAATTACATAATTTGAAAGCTTGACTACCAGTCCTCAAATTTCCTTCTCACATGTGACTTTCCATTGAAAATAAGTGCAACTGTACTGCTGCTGTTAAACAAAACTGGAGAGCTCTCAAATATAAAATGAGGAAGTACTGGCACTATCTCCGCTCCAGTTTACTCCATACAGCCTTTTAGTTAGCGTTTTACTAGTGTTTAGTTATACACTTTTAATTCCTTTGTCTTCTGTCTCCAGTTTATTAGCTGTGTGTATTTCTTCTCTTAATTCTGAATCTAGAAACTGATGGAAATGTTGTAAGTTATGATTTTCTAGGTGAAGTGTCATGTGTCATTATCACATGTGCCACGTGTTACTGAGATGTAAAATATACCTGTTAGTTACTCAGTGAGTGTAAAGTAAAAGGTGTTACATTTGGTGTGCTTGTGGTCTCTTGCTCCTCAAAGCCTTCTCCAGACCTGTTTAGCTCTCTAGCAATGTTTAATGTAAAAAAAAAATAAACAAAAAGCCCCAACCAAAACCTACCAAACCAAGAAATTCTCTACCCTACACAGGAAACAGTGTTTATTGTAGGGTAAGAAAATGCAGTAAATGCATAAGATAATATGTGATACCACTGAAACTTAAATGTCTGTCTCTACAGGCCCCATCTAACATGAAGTCAGTGCTGCAGGCAGGGTGGCTGCTGACTGTGGCTGTTGGTAACATAATTGTCCTTATCGTGGCTGGGGCATCCACAATTGACAAGCAGGTAAGCAATGCAAGCAGTAGATGTGCTATTATATTGCACTGTGAGAAAGAGTTATTAGTGGTGCTCTGTAACAAATTAAAATGGCTCTCTCAGAGAGGGAAGAGCTCTGGCAGTCCCCAGTTTCAGCTAAATTAAATCAGAAAGAGCATGAAACAGAGATGTTGAGGCTTTTCAGGTAGAGTTTCTAGTCTTGATCTCTGCCCACATTTATGGTCACTAGGTCAGCTGTAAAAATTTTAAGTGGAAGCAGAATTAGTGCCAGCCTGGTTTAGAGTGAGATTATCTGATCAAAAGGAAGGGGCTGAGTTGTCTTCTCAGTCTTTCATTCAATTCCCAGTTCCTCCAGGAAAAGGATGTTGCAGAATTTTTCAGCATTCACAGAATTTTTGTCTTTTCAGTGAAGATAGAACGGCTGAAAGAGCCTCAATTCTGAGTTGCTTTAATATGTATTATATGCACTAATACTTAGTCCTCTAAGCCATATGATACTTGTTACATATACTCAGTTTCACTTTCTGAGTTTACTTCCTGAAAATGCTAAAATGGTGTAATACTCTTGACAAATGATTATTTATGATAAATTCCACTTAATTTTTTTTTTGTTTTTTACAGTGGGCAGAGTATGTGCTGTTTGCTGCACTGCTGTTACTAGTTTGCATCATTTTTGCTATCATGGCTTCTTTTTATACCTATATTGATCCAAATGAGATTGAAGCCCAGTTCGATAAGGAAGAAAAGAAGGATCAAGATGACAATGAAAAAGAAGCTGAACTTGATTCTCGAATGTAAAAGCTGTATTCAAGGAGTATTTGTAAATCACGGAAATCCCATTCTATCTCCTGCAGTCAGAGGAATCAGGGTATCAGTAATAACACCTCTGGATTACATGTCTTGTGGGAGACATTAAGCAAAACTGTTTTAACTTAAAGCACAGCCTCTCTAGGGAAGCAATAGGAAAATACTAGTCTCTCTCTTATACTGAATGTGGTATCCTGGAGAAACTTCAGCAGAACTTGCACTCTTAATGTACCTCAATCTTAAATATTATAGCATTAGAATATTGAAATTAGACTTGGAACTATTGAACCCTTTGAAAAGATATATTTTTATACTGTGTTTCAATTTTATATCATGAAAGAAACAAGACTTGTCAAGAAACAGCAATTGAAGCCAAGCTCTCTGCATGATCTCTCTAGCATCACTGTTACTTGAAAACAGAAGGTCACATGTGCCTTAAATTCTTTTGTACTTCCTTAGAGATAATGGGAGCAAAGCTCTGGCAGTGATCAGATTAAAATGTTGTCTGTGTTCCAAGTGGCAGTAACTTGGATGTGCACTGTAATATAATGCTTTATCTGCCTGTTAACTACCCATTTAACTCTTGTTATGTCTTTAATCAATATTGGAAGTCTCCACTCAGGTGAACTTGTAACAGCAAATGACCTTTGGAACAAGCAAGAGCAATAAAACTTCTGTTATAACAAAATAAGACAAGTATTTTAAGAATATGGCTTACAGTTGCATGTTAACAAGACTCGATACCACCTCCCTGCTGCTTTTATCTACACATTCCTTCACTTAAAGCTAATGGATCAGTCCTGGTCTTCTCTATCTTAATATACTATAACACTTATCAAATTTATGCTAGGGGAGACTAAATTTTTTGCCTATCCTGCTCCCATAGTCCTGTGCTGCGTGTTATGGAATGCCAATGGTCTGCATGTTATTTTGATAATTCTTGTTTTTTAGGGTCTGCATCCTACCCTTTTTCCAGCAGCTTGGACTCACTGGCCCCTCCAGTAGTCTGGCCAGACTTTTAGCAGCTTTCATACCCATCTTCCAATACTCTCAGGCTATTTTGCAGTAATTCCATTTTGGTATTTGTGAGTGAGGACACAGACATCCATAATCAAGCAATTGGTATTCTGCTTGCTCTGAGGGTGCATGGACCCCTGTGCTCCCTGTTCCCACTGGAGTTGCTGGCTTCCATGTGCACTGAGAATAGACTCACTCACCCATGAAGACAGTTTCAAATGGAGTTTGAAAAGGCAAGTGCAAGGTGCTCTTTGCTTGTGTTAGAGATAGTCCTGTCACCCCATAGACAGTAATCCCCTCTTGGTCTCTCAGGTCATCTGGAGAGAGCCTTTCCCTTGGATTTGTGATACTGCATGTCCCCCAGTCAATGGAACTGAGGGTCTCCTGTAACAGCCACAGGAGCAACTGGCTCCCTGCCATCCTCTGAGGAGTTAAGGGAATTTTATGCCAGCTTTATTTATGGCAGACTAGCCAGCTTTTCTTCTACCATGCAAGTTAAGCAAAATAAATTATCTCTTAGCTGTATCCAATGGAATAACATCTTCTGCCTACTACTCTATCCATGCCAGGTTAAATGTTTATTTGTCATTTTAGCACTACCTTTTTTTCCCCTTTGGAATACAGGTCATGTGCCTAGTTTTTATACCATAAGCTGTTGTATCTTAATGCTTTAGCAAACCCACTAACTTGTCTACAACATAATGAATGTGGATTATATTTAGAAAGCCAATAATACTGCAAAATTAGATAGAGAACCTTTCTGATGAGGTGAAAACTACCTGTAAGGTAGAATGGAGACAGTTGTGTGTGATAAGATTTTAATCTCATTTTCAACAGGGATTTAAGTAATTAAAAGTTAAAATACCCATGTGCTGAGCCAGGTAGTTCCTGTCAGCATTGCTATGACTGTGTCCAGAAGTTGTGTGCAGTGAATTGGTCTTTGGGCTGAAATTGAGTGTTTTCAATTCCTTAGTTTTAAGCATTAAAGAGGTACAATTAACCTCTAAATGTGACAGTGTTTAGTTTGGCATGCTGCTGTCTAGACAATCAGACTTACTGAGAGGGTCTTTTGCATATAATTTTCTGTTGCAGAGAAGACAGCCTGAAATTAATCAAATTAATAGTTATCATTCTAAACTAACAATATACAAGAGTAATGAATTATGACACTCTGTTCTAGCAATCCAATCTGCACTCATGCGTGTCCAGGTAGATACAGGAATGTGTATGTCTGTATGCTTAATAATATTACAAATACATTGCAAAGCATCCACGTTTTTTCCATATTCCCCCTTAGCTCAGCCTAATGACACTTGACTTAAAATAGCTCCATGTCATATTCTCTGAACTACATTAATCCATCCTCTGCCATTTGCTGTTCTTAAAAATTGGCTTATTAGCAGCATAATCCTTGGAAAAACTTATCTGTAGTTATAGAGAAATGCCTATACAAAGTTGTTGGGTTCTTTAAAATTTCCTGGAAGCAATTGCAAGCCACCTGTACATACTCTACAACTTGCTTTTACGTCTTTCTTTCACAGCTTGACACAGTACTTTAGCATAATATTCACTGACCATCGTGCACAGATTACAATACTGGTAACAAAATAACTGGGTCCTGCCTTAAAATGTGAAAGGGAGTCAAACTAGCAAAGCGGAAGCAACAAGTAAAATCGTCCTCCACCAGGAAGAGGTTCAGGAAAATCAAAGATGCCCCATTTCCCACTAATTCTGTTCTTCCTACAAACACCACTGCAAGACAGGATTTTGTGTAATTTAGCACAGCACAAGGGTAGCATGAGAGCTGTAATTCAGTGAGTTCCCTAATGTTGCTGTTAAATGTTATCCCTTTCCCATGCTCATACCTAGTCCTGAGTCAAAGCTCTGCATCAACCACCTTAAGCCCAGAAGTGGGCTTTATTCCACATCCCAGGGAGTTTAACAGCTGCTCTGACTGTATAGGGGGGAGAGAGAGAACAGGAAGATGAGCAAAAGAGGAGCTGTGCTTTTCCGAGAGTAGCTCTGTGTTTATATGAATGGTAGAATCACTAAGGTTGGAAAAGACCTGCAGGATCATCAAGGCCAACCTTAGATCTAACACCACCCTGCCCACTGAATGATATTGTGAAGTGCCACATTTGACCACTTTTTTTAATGCTCCCAGGGATGGGGATTCCACCACCTCCCTGGGCGGCCCATTCTAATGCTCAACCACTCTTTCAGTGAAGAAATTTCTCCTCACATCCAATCTCAACCTCCCCTGGCACAACTTGAGGTCCTTTCCTCTCATCCTATCACTGGTTTCCCGGGAGACAGACAGATCCCCACCTGGCAAGCCCCTCCTTTCAGGCAGTTGTAGAGGGATCAGGTCTCCCCTGCACGTCCTTTTCTCCAGGCTAAACAACCCCAGCTCTCTCAGCTGCTCCTCACAGGACTTGTGCTCCAGACCCTTCGCAGTTCCATTGCCCTTCTCTGGACATGCTCCAGCACCTCAATGTCCTTCTTGTAATGTGGGACCCAAAACGAGCACAGGAGCACTGAAAGAAAGCTATGGCCTCAGCAGTGCTGAATACAGTAGTGCAATCGCTTCTTTGGTCCTGCTGGCCACACTCTTGCTGATGCAATAAGTAACGAGCCTGGATGCCACGGGTCTTCTTGGCCACCTGGGCTCGCTGCTGGCTCATGTTCAGCTGGCTGTTGACCAGCACCCTGAGGTCCTTTTCTTGCCGGGAAATTTTCCAGCCGCTTGCCCCCAGCCTGTAGCACTACAGGTGGTTGTGACCCAAGGGCAGGACCCCACACTTGGTCTTTTTGAACTTCATACCACTGGCCACTGCCCATGGATCCCTGCTATCCATATCCCTCTGCAGAGCCTTCCTACCCTACAGCAGATCCTATCCAGCTTGGTGTCCTCTGAAAACTGACTGACAGAGAATTTGATTCCCTTGCACAGGTCATCAGTAAAGGTATTAAACAGGACTGTTCCCAATACTGAGCCCTGGGGAACACCACTGGATGTAACTCCAAGCCACTACCACCCCTGACAGTTTTTTAGCCTGCAAAGAGTGCACCTGTTCAAGCTGTGGGCTCCCAGATTTTCCAGTAGGATTCTGTGGGAGACAGTGTCAAAGGTTTTACTGAATTCTAGGCAGACAACAACCCAGCCTTTCCCTCATCCACTGGGTAGGTCACCTTGTCAGAGAAGGAAAGCAGGTTGGTCATGCAAGGACCTGCCTTTCCCAAACCTGTGCTGGCTGGGTCTGACCCCTTGCACGTGCCATGTGATCACTCTCAAAATAATCTCTTCCATAACCTTCCTTAAGCTCTGAGGTCAGGCTGACAGGCTGCTGGAATCCTCCTCTTGACCTTTCTTGCAGATGGGTGTCACATTGGCTAGCCAGCAACTACTTCCTAATTATTGCAGATACTAATCAGACAGGTTTGCCTTTGCTGGCAGGTGTACTGGGACAAAAGAGTTGGTTTTCCCTTCAATGCCTAAATGGTTATAAGACCTTCTGAAATACTCAGGAGGAGAACATTTGCAGTGAAAATAGCTCTGTCTCCATAACACTATTGCTGTATTTTGGGGGTGAGGGGGAGTTAGAATTCAAAACTGTAAAAGAAGCATAACTAAATAAAATTATGAATAAAAATTACGCAAGAGCTAAGTACAAAATATTGAGGCACTGTCACAGCACTTGTTCTCAAACTGCTGTTGCAATCCCTCATTTGACCTGCTGCTGCTGTAAGTGGCAAATAATACTCTCATGAGATTAAGATGAAATTTCAGCTGTCTGCTCATATGAAATTGTATTTATCCTCCTCCTGTGAGATTCAGAGGACTGCAGTGTATGTTCCTGTCGAAGGTTCTTTTCATCTTAACCCATAAAGGGCTTTTCGAAATTCTAAGTTGAACATAGTCCTTTCCCAGATAGGAAAAATACTTTATTTAAGCCTTGTAAACTTAAAAAAAACCCCGAAAAACCAAAAATTCCCAATGCTCCCAGAGCCATACCATCCTTCCTTGGTAGTGAAAATTGGAAATGTTTTCTACTTAGATGAAAGTTCTATTTCCTAAAGGTCTTATTGTACAAAATATATATATATATATATTTCAAGTAAAGGTTAGTGCAATTTTTTCAGCTCTTTCAGTACTTCAGTTCAACAGAGTCCCTGAGGCCAGTTCCATAACCACCTAACTGAATTAATGATATTGAATGCATTTTTACTGAAATCTGATCCCAGACATGGGAGGGTAGGAGTAGAACACTGCTACACAAGTGTACTCAAGTTAGAGCCGTGGATGTCCCAGGGTGGCAGAGCCTGGCTGAGTGCTGAAACTGGAAGGCGAGATTTTGTTTAAGAATCTGAGCATGGAAATCGGGAAGGCTGGGAAGAGAGAACCTCCAGATTCTCTACATCTGCCCCTGCTGTCTTGCAGGGACCAGGAATATGAGACTAATGATCATTATATTCTTTGTTGTAGCAGAGCAAGGTGCTAGTGCCACAGACCATCTCCTCCCACTGCTTTGGACCAGGCTGTGGTCACTCACCAACACATTGCTGATCGAGTTACAGAAACCCAAGCTGGGGTTAGGCATCTTTTGGTTGGTTGGTTTTCCAGTTTTAGGTGTTTATTTCATGTATTCATTGCAAGTGTGACTCATAATTTCTTCACTACAGCTTCAGAGCAGGTGGCTGCTCCAGCACCCCCAGCACACAGGTGATGAGCTCGGCTCCCTTCCTGACTTGCTGCCACCTCTGTTGTAGGGGGCAGACCCAGGATGCTGTTCTGTGCCACCTATTTCCAGCTCAGGGAGAGCTTGGCAGAACCAGGAGGAATTAGAGAAGCCCGGAGCCATTTCCCATCTGCCTTGAGGCAGCTTGTGGAACAGGAAGGATTTATTTACTTTGCTCGGACTGGGCTTTTTTCAGTGAAACGCCAGTCTGTGACTACAGACTCTATGTAGCATTGGCAGATAGAAAACACACGACACTTTCCTACCTTTAGTTAACATTTCTTTCTTGGCCAGCTCTAGACCCCTTGCTCAGGCAAATCTTCCCTAAGTGTAGCTCGGGGTCCTTCCCAGGACCTCATTTTCCACCACCAGGTGGCAGAAAAATACAGCGGCAGGGAAGGGGAGGGAGAGGCACACCCAGAACCCCCCCTACATCATTAACTTAATCACTTTTCGCTCGCAGGTATCACAAGCTTCAGATTGCCCGAAGAAAATACCTAGATCACTATCGTATCATATCAGAGAGATAGATCAGTATAGTTTTTGGAGACCACAGGTCTGCTGTATGTTTAGAAAAATTAAAATATTTGGGTGGATTTTAGCAGAGAGAGCCTCTGGCAGCACTGATGGAAATTGCCTCTCTTATAAACTTTTAAAAAACTTATTTAAAATGCCAAAATTCACGTGGTATTATAAAAAAAAAAGAGACTTTGATAATGAAGAATAGTAAAGAACAAGAATAAAGCTGATTGTGCTGCAGCATCCAACACTCGTACTCTAAAAGATGATAAAAATCACTGGCTACAGCTTCATGTTGCGCTTAATCCAATTAAACTGCAGAACTCATACCCCAGGCATGAAACTGCCCTAAGAAACAAAGTCCCAAGCAAGTTTAGGTGGCTTTTTGTAACTGAGCAAAATGTCAGTAAGACAAAGCAAAATTGGCTTCCGTGGACACAGCAGACTAATCCCCAGAGCAAACTGCCCCAGATAAAACAGTACCATGTTAAATAGAGGGATGTGCAGACGCTTCAGCAAACCATTACTTTAAGTGGATATAAATTCGGGCTGAATTGGGCTGCATTTGGTTCTGACAGACTACGCACTGATTTCAGATTCCTGACTCCTG